AAAAGCCAATATATCTTCAGCAAAATTATTGCTGATTTTTTGAGCTGTATGCTGATCATTGGGGGTACTGCTGATCGTTCTCGTTGATTGCTAATAAAAAAAAGAAAAAAATTGTTAACACTAAGCACATAGCAATTCTGATGTTCAAAAACAACGATGGTTTTTTCCTTCTTTCTTTTTTGGTTGTTGTTGTTGTTGTTGTTTAGAAGCTTTAAGTACTGTTAAGTGTTCATCATAGAAGCACTCTTTTTTTTTTTTTTTTCTGTGCAATTCTATTTTTCCGTAGTTTAGTGGGCTCTTAAAGGTAGTGGTGATACTGTAACCAAAAAAAATTAAAGCTTCTTTTGTCTCCAAAATTTTTTCCCTTTTTTTTTCTACAAACGTTAATTAATGGGTCATAGATCGAAAAGCTTAATTTTTCTTCCTGCTGCCTAATGCTGTTCGGCAGTTAATTAATAAAATAGAAAAAAAAAGAGCAGAGGAAAATTTGCAACCAAAAAAAAAAATCTGTTTCTCTTTTCTTTATATAAAATAAATTTAAAAATATATTTTTTATTTTTTCTTCTCTTTTTTCTTTCCGTTGCATATGAGGAAGACTATTATCGTAAAAAAGATTAAAACTGTATGTAACAGTTGAGTGATGTTGTTTCCTTTTGATTTTTTTCTTTTCATCTTTATACTTAATTTTAAAAACTAATCTAATTACACAAAAAAAACCTCAGTGCCTACAAAGTGTTGAGGAGAAGAAAAAAACTGAACACTGATATCAGCTGACACTATCAATTGTTGAATTAATGCTAAAAAAGAGAGTGAAGAAAAAGGAAACAGGAAATAATGAAAAATTATTCTATGTTTTGATATAGCTGTATAAAATGTTAAAAATTTTTAAATTTACAACTGTTGAATTGGCCAAAACAATTATAATAAGTTTTTCCTCTTTTTTTTTTGTCGATTTTGAATTTAGCATATCAAACAATGCCTGGAAATGTGCTTGAGTTGTTGTCGATTAAGAAGCAATTGTGGTTGAGCAGCAAATGCATGAACAAACATCATCCATGCATCCATCTACCGACGACAATGCTTAAACCCCCCGTTAAACCAGCAATACTTTCGTTGCTGGTGCTTCAGATTTTATTCAAAATTTTTTATTTTATGCATGTCCTCTTTTTTCATTTCTTACATATTACTGCTGCAAAAAGATACCAAAAGTAAGCTGACAAACTTGGATGTGATCAAGTGAAGAAACAACAATTGCAACTTCAATTATCTAAGGCAAATCGATGTCTGGACAAATTTTTCTTTCCATCTGTTTTTTTTCTTGCTTTTTATAGAGTATTACAATCGTTTATTTCTTGTGTTGTTCTGCTGAAATGAAGTATTAAAAAACGATAAAATTGAAAATTAACGATGAAATAATCACTAAATCAAATTGGAAAATAAGAATGATAGAAGACAAAAAAAAATTAAAAAAATTGCAAATTTTTTTTTTGTTTCTTAATCAAATAGATTATTAATTTAGCGATAGATATAAATTGCAATTGCATAACAAGAAGGAAAAAAAAATAATAAACAGGTGTTTTCATGCATTTAAAGTACACAGTTCACATAAGAAGACCCAACGACGAAGAGCAATAACGTAACAGATCTTCTTGACAAGCAGCCACCACTGCAAATTGATATCGGATTACTGTTGTCATTTTGCGTCTCGATGAACACCCCAAAACGCTTTTTTGCAACCAAATGTCTTCATAAATCCTTAATGTAAGCATTTCCAGGTCAACAGTTCATAGGCATCATTGTTTTGTAATCAACTCAATTACCTGGCAAAATTTTGTGTCAAAATAAATACCATTGATATCAGACAACGACAACGACAACAACAACAATAAAAGACAAAAAAAGGCTATAAAAAGTGCGAAAGAAAAAAAGAAAGAATTAAAAATTTTACAGTTAATAACACCGCTTTTTATCCAAAACTTATTCTTGTCAGTTATTCACTTATATCTATGCTATCCAGAAACAATGCATATCATCAAATACCAGAATCAATAATTTTATGCCAAAATTTAAACTTACAATGATTATAGTCGGCACAAGTTTTTTTTTTTTTTTTTTGTTGACTGTCATACCTATAAACCGGCCAAGTCAGATTTGAAAAAATACCTAAATGTTTAAAAGTTTTTCCCAATTTTTTTCAAAAGATAATTACCAACTTGAAGTCAAAAAGTAAAAATAACACCTTTTTGAAATAAACGTATTTTAACAATTTGCTAACGAACTGAAAGTTTTGTTACAGATAACAGCTGTGTGTTCTTTTTCTTCTACTTTTTTCAATAACTTTTAACAGATCGTAAAACCGAAAATTACTGCGATGTAAAAGTTAGCAAAAAAAGAGTAACTAGTAATTTAGACCTATTTTCTGTCCCACTCCCTCGCAATATCGCCTCATCACTGCTACCACCGTTACCACCACCATCGCCACCATCGTCGTCATCGCCATCGCCATCGCCATCGCCATCGCCATCGCCATCTCCACCACCATCACCACTTAAAAACCCTTCAATTTGTTAAAAGAGCAAAAAATATTGCAAAAAGCAACAATTCTCAGTCCCAATAAAAAATTTATTTCAATGATGAATAAACACTTAAGTGTGAAATAATATTTTTGCTTTTTGTCATATATTTCTTTCACATATTTGTCTATTAAAAAAAGTTTTTTTTTGTTTTTTTTTTT